TATTAAAATTTCTCTCTCTCTCTCTCTCTCCTCTCTCACTCTCTCTTTAAAAAAAAAAAATTCAATATTAATATAATTTCGACTATATTTTCTTCTTACTATAACTTTTAGGTGGCTCATGTTCCTGTGATCTGGCACAACTTAAAATTATCTCAAAGATCTCCAAAGTGTAAATTCTGTGCTCCCCAAACTTAAAATGTAAAATTTTATTCAAGTAATTATAATAGACATTTGCACACATTCACCAAAAACATGTCAGGGTTTCACGTCAGCACTTTATCTCCATGGAAACATTGTTTCACTTCAGTGCTTCCTATAGAAAGACATCCACTGCATATGAACTCTTTAAGTATTTACTGAGCCTGATACATGATTTACAGTTTAGAGATTTCATACAATGATAGTGATACTGCCTTAGGTTGATATAAAGAATGTTAGCCAATATTTAAAACTTAATATAATGGCCTATAAAGAGTTATATCTTAATTTTTTAACAACTGTTAATATCATACACACCAGTGTTATCAGAAAATCTTACTTGTGCTTTGAAAGAGTTATTTTGTTGGTGTTGATATAATTTCTAAGGAAATGGAAACCAGTTATAAAGTGCTCACGTGCTAGGTGCCGAACCTCCATTGAGTGCCTTCCTGAACTGATTCATGCCTGTGGAGGGAAAGACCATATATTCAGCTCCATGGTCGAGAAGGAGCTACAGGCCACCAAAACAAAACAGGTAAGGCCCCCTTACTCTGTGAAGTTGTACCAAGAGTTTTCTAACTTAGGRCATGGGTTTTGAAGTCAGTCCCACCTGTGTTTAAATTCTGTCTTTGCCATTTACTAACCATGGAAACATTATATATATCTTATAACATTCTTGTGAAAGTTAAGCAAAATAGTATTATGTGAACTGCTTTATATAGTTCTTGACATAGAATAATAACTGAACAAATGATAGTAATAGTAATTAATAATATTACTGGCATTATTAGAACTTGTTCAGTATAATGCTTTCAAGCTCGCTTTGGAAGGCTTCATTTAGCCTGTACATCACCAGATTGCATTACCCAGGAGCCTACTCCGTTTCTTCTAGGTAGTTTTGCACTTTTTATGGTAGGGTATATTTTCATACAATTCCTTCAATTACTTGTTTATGTTCCACTCTCATTTTAATCACATTATTGTTCCTAGATTCAAAGAGATTCTTTCAAATAAACCCCTTATTTGTTAACTATGTAACTTATATGGGAAGTTAAATCTAAACAATCTTTGGAAGGCCAAAAAAACAAATGAACAATGCCAGATATATTTGGCTTTCTAGCCTTTTAAGTCTTAAGCAGTTTTACCCTAAACATGTCAAAGTAAATGTTCAGGATTTATAACATGATTATATTGATTTGTATGTGCACATATTAAAGAAACTTTTAAAGTATATCTCTTTTTCTTTCCAAGTAAAACTTTTTTTGAACAAGACTTGGAAAAAGTGTAACAGCATTAATGTCTGATTGATTGTTCAGTTTCTGTTGAACCCAAAATTGGCACAAAAAAAGTTATTTAAATGTTCATAATAAATGTCTACCTTTCTAACTAAATTACCATTAAAATTATGAATAAAAGCAATATATTGAAATCAAAACAAGGTTTCTGTTAGCAACAACAGATTTCTAATATAGCATACGTTGATTTGAAGCCAAGTTTTAGATGTGATGAAAAATTAGAACATTGTTATAATTAGTTCAGGGAGAACTCAGAAGTAAACTTACTTAATTTATTTGCATAAATT